AGACAATCTTGTTTTATTAATATATTCTGAAACTGATCTGCAGTGCTCATTGGAAAGTTTCACAGCCGAGTGCGATGTGTAAACGCATCTAAAACGAAAAGCCTAGTGCTTTTTCGTTCTTCTGCCCGTTGTTCTCTTCCGGTAAACGGAGAAGCAGTGCAGCTGGCGGAGAAGATCAAGTACCTCGGGTTTGTTTGTGATGGAAAATTTGAGGAAGAGATCCACCGGCGGATTGGAGTAGCCAGTGGCGTTCTGCTTGAGTTATCCCGATCCACTGTGACTAAAGGAAAGCTCAGTCGGAAAACTAAACTCTCGGTTTTCAAGTCGATCTTTATCTCCATGCTTACTTACGGTCATGAGTCGTATACCATGACTGAAAAACTTCGATCCCTGGTGCAAGCGGCTGAAATTTCTGAGCGAAGTCGCTGGCCTTAATCGTATCGATATGATCCGGAATACAGACGTCTGCGAGAGCCGTGGTGTACATCCGCTGCTTCTTCAGATTGAGAAGTCACAGCTGCGATGGTCTGTGCTTGTGTTGCGAATGCCTCCAGAAAGGAAGGTTAAGTAACTGTTTCTTACCCAGCCGGCCGGCAGAAGGCTCTTGGACGGCCAAGATTAACCTGGTGTAATCTATGGAAGGAGTCTGCTCCATACTCCAGTTGTCTTCTGCTGAAGATCAGACTCTGCCATAGGATCGGGAGCATTGGAAGCACTATCTGACGCGTTTGCCTCCGCGACCCTAATGGAGAAGCGGTTATGGGTGATGAAGATGATACAAAATGTTTTGGTCTGTTTGAGTTTATGTCCTATACATCCCGCTAATGAAGAACAGCGATAGACTGTCCGTTCGAAGCGAAGTTGAAGCTAAGTTTTGTATGTACGTACGTTGAACAGAACTTGTATTATGAGTAATACAGGTTGAGTTTCCTGAATCCGAAATCCATGAAATTGCATTAGCGCATTTCTCAGCCCTGAGTTTTTTTCGAAATATCTTTGAATGATATATACAACGATCGTAACACCCTTTCCCTCAATCTTCTATCGGCAGTTGTGTCTTCTGATACCTGGCCAATCAGAAAAGAGCCTCCCTCCATCCCTAATGATAGCCGATGGTCGAACGTTATCGGAAGTTCTCTACGTCCCATTCGAGGGCACACTTCTTCGCTGCTCATTTTGTCTTCAGGATCAAAAGGAAGAACACGTGCTATTGTCTTTCATGTTCGCACATTAACAGGGAAACAACCCATTAAGATTCCTCTTTCTTCCCCTTCCTCACTCCCCTTGCTTCTAACCTATACAAGCTGCATGAAAGTGTCTTTCTGTACCTGATGATGTTGTACTGCAACAAAACCCGGGTCGTTTCAGGTTGTGAAGTAACTGAGTTTGTTTTTCTCTTGTGATTTGCAGTTCTCTGCTATACCGCTTTTTGAAACATGCTTAACTACTCTTTTACAGCAGGAAGTTTTGGGATTGGAACTCATTCTTTTGGACCGTAAATATTTTATTTAAAGGAAGCAGATTCATTATTTTGTGTGTTCAAGCTGAGAATGGGAGAAAGTTCTCATGACGGTCCTGTTTCTTAACACGTCTGTGTCACTGATCTGCAGTAAACCTTCAAAAAATTGTCAGTGAGGTGTCAGAGGTGAGGTGAGTACCGTGCTAGTTTTTCTGAAAGTCTGAATTTTTTCTCATTTCTCTTCAACTCCAACCTGTCATGTATTCCAAAATCCGAAACAGTCTTGGTCCCAGGCATTTCGGATCAGGGATATTCAACCTGTATCAGAAATGTTCTTGAAGCTTTAACAGAAGTGCTGTGTACTTATAAGTTCGACAGAACACAAAACCCTTTCATTAGCTTTGAACAGGAGAAACAGTAATAAAGTCAGTATGGCAACTCCAGTAATATTGAAACAGGGGCCTGCCGTAATCGAAGAGGCTATTCGGCACTCAGTGGTCTCGAATGCGGCAGAAGCAGGCCGGTTAACGACAGAACTTACCGAATTACTCTCCCAAAAATTTGCACCAATCAGTAGTATGCCACAACTTATTTAAAGTCACTGTTTTTGGAATAGGATTTCTTCGGCTTAAGTCATTACATGCACAGTGTTTAGCTTTATATTTTGGAAGTGTACTCTTTTCAGGCAGCGTATAAAATATTCTATTTTGACGTGTAGCATTTAGTATGGGCGATAACAACGATAACGAGGAATTTTACGACGCATTAGATGACGCGGACACCGTTCATGTAGATTCGCGTAAGATAATAACTAAAACGGACACCAGCACTGAGGTGCTCATGAAACCGCTTCCGTGTGCGACGGAAAAGTGCGACGTTGGCTTAGATGCTCCGATCGTATCATCGTTTTCTTCGTCGACGAACGAGTCACACAATGTAAGAGTTAGAGTTTGTAAATGTTTAGCTCACATTTGTTTTGGGACGTTGTTTAGGTCGAGGAATCGATTGTGATTCGCCGCCGGAAGTTGGACGAGCTGCGCATACAGTTGCAGCAAGATCTGAACGGACACAACGAATTATTCAACTCGTCAGAGAGTGACCTTTCATCGCTCGCCTCTTGGAGCAAGCTGCTGTTGTCAAACACGGGACCGTCGAGAGAAGCACCACTGGCGGCGACATATATGGTGACGGTGTTTCCGTTGGACAGTGTCAGCACCCGAGGCGGTGAAGTCGCATCCGAGACGGCGGCGAAGTGTATTGTCACTGTCAAAGCTAGCGAAGCCGAAAATTTGATAGTCGCCAAAGACGGTTCTTCGAAAGTTTCTGGCCCTAGCACGGGCAGTTCAAAGGCAAGTACTCTGGAGCGTTTCGAAACCGCCGAAAGTCATTCCAGTTCACTGGAGAAGGACCTTCGTCTTAGCCGTTCGTCGCTGTGTGCGAAAACCGGTTCGTTGACTCGGGATTTCACCGGCGATCAGTTGCTGATGGACGAGGCTCATCTGGCGTACATCGAACGCAAGAATTCAGAGGCTATACAAGTAATCGAGGCACTGACAAACGAGATCGTGAGAAGCACAGAACTTAGCAAGTCTAAAGACGAAGAGGCTGAAGCAGTCGCCCCCGGCGTCGCTTTGCGGGAACCCGACATCGTCGCCAGTAACCGAATAAAATTGATCGACAGCTTGCAACAGGGCTCGAACCCGGTGAGACCTCCTCGCAAGAAAAAGGTGATAGAAAGTCTGATCACCAGCTCAATGTGGCACTAAGGCAAGGCTCAAATTTTAGGTTCAGCAGCTGACCTCCGATCGCCATAGCAAGACTGCAACAGCGGAGGCACCTGACGCTGTCTCATCACCGCGAAACTCTCTAGGTTTAGATGAAGTAAGATGACTGCAGTACGGCAGTAATGATATTACTGATCTTTCGCCTACGCTTAGACTGTTCTCGACACTGTGATGGTGAAAAACCTCGATACCGGCGAACAGATACCTCTCAGCTTGGCGGAGGAAAAAATTCCCCGTGGCATTAACCCCCTGTGTTTGCATATAATGCGTCTTACGAACGACTTTTCATCGTATGACATGAATGACGAGAATGAATGTTATTCGAAGTCTTGTTTATAGATATATGTTTTAGGAATCAAAAATGTCGGGAATCTGATAGCGAGTCAATGGCAAGCGATGATGTAGGCAGTGTGCAGAAGCTTGGCTTCAAGGATAGTTACCTACACCAGGCTAAGGAAAAAACGTACGTGCTTATTGCGACTAATCGAAGGCTGTGTTTCTAGAGGGAAGGGACAATATACCAATTGTTCAGGTATTTTATGCGGGCAGTTCATTTGGGGACCGGGGTTCGTGTTTCTGACGGATGACTGCGCATATGCACTTTATGTACGAGCGACTGATGTTTCGAATCGTGCTTAATTCGTCGTTATGGACAACAGCAAGGTAAAAATGACGGTGACGGTGGTTTCGCCGTACGTAATAGAAAAAGACACTTTCCTTTTTTATCGAAAAGGTTTAGTTCAGGAATAGTTTGGTTCAAGAATAGTTACAACTGCGAATCTTTAGCCTTGGAAACCTGAAGGATGCTACCAGTCTTTCGTTGCAAGCTAGCATTGATGCTGATTACGCATGCATTGATGACCGCTTTCTGCAGAAATGGATTATAAACCAACACAAGAGTTATCATTTGCCTTGGCGCGCGACGTTTCGAAACTTTTGATCAATCTCCTTCATTTTATTTCTTCGCCAGACTGTATGGCATGTGAATCGTCTCTACGGATTCACAGACGATGGTAAATCTGGTAGAAAAACTGTTTGAAGAGCCAAAGTAGGCCATCAGAACTGTAGGGCTACTGTCGAAATTGTTTAACATCAGAAAGAGTTCGTCAACAGCAGAGTGCTCTCTCATAATCTGTTATTTAACATAGTCTGTACTATGCTAACGAGCGTTCATCCGGATGAATTGCGACGGTATTGACCATCGGTAAACAGCGCATCTCAAGATAACTTGTTGTTTCTAATTAACCTTTTGAATACATGCAACATCGTGCTACCGAGCAACTCCACAAATTGCCTATTTCCCTCATCAAAAGGTTGTACAACGCGGCCGTTGGAATGACGCTAGAAGTCGGTGCCAAGGCGATGAAGCATATGAGAGTGCCCTCCAATGAAGACAGGCAGAGGATGGAATAAAAAGATGTGGCGGTGAAGAACGCGGACCATTTCACTTATCTTAGAATGGTCCTTGTTAATAAGGTTGGTAATAATCTTGAAGTGGGCCTACGCGCCAGACTAGAATCTGTGACTTCGGAAAACTATGTTAAATGTGGAAAGGTCGTAGTGTATGAATAAGGCCAAAGATCACACTGTGTGTTTGAAGCAGCCCAAATATATCTAATAAGTCGAACTTTCAGGATCCGCAACGATGTTTCTTCTTCAGTATAAATTGAAAACTTGCATAGACGTGGTCACAGCGATCAGAGATCAGTAGGTAAATGATTGAAGTATTGTAACGAAGAAATATGAGGTCAGCAAGGACGGGCTGAATGAAAATGAAAGGCGTAAGAAATGAAAGAAGAATTTGAGAAATGGGGTAAAAGGCAGAGATAACGAAAAAAGAAAAGTATATAAATGGAGAATTGGTATCTTAATCTTCCATCTCTGCTTCTGCTTTCGGGTCGAGGAGATTTGGTACAAACTAAATTATTTGGGACAAGATTCCAACTAGCTGAAAAACTCTGAGGCTTAATTCATTATATTACGTGGGCTGCACAGAATTCTACCATGAAGGCGGAATCACGCGTCACGAGACTGGCAAGGGTATTGTCAATGTCAGAGGTCGTCATGTCATTGCTATTAATGCGGTGTATGTTGCCAATAACATGGTTCATTACAGCAGAATGTTTTTCATACCCATGCTCGAAAGCTCTCACTGGTTCTAGCGTCCTTCTGTCAGGCCAATGAAAATCTTTCGATAACCTTTACGATCAATCTAGGAAGCCGTCCCGTTTTTACGCTTCCGATCAGTGATGCCTTTCTTTGCAGATAACTTTGAATCCGACCGTATTTCGGTAACGACGGAGGGGTGGAGCTAAATGAAAATTAGAAGATAAAAATACAATTTCGGTTATGTGGAGATGGGAGAAGAAGATTGTAACTTGGATGAAAGAGATGGTATTGGAGAAAACTGTAATCGTAACCATTGTTTTTAAGTACGTATGGCAGATTCAGGGTTTCAGCTTTACACACTAAAGCAATAAGACATCGTTGTAGTACTCAATTTGATGACAGTGTTAGTGAATTATGATTGGGGAACTGCTCAACTTGAATGTATGAAACGAATGCATTCTGTTTCCCTCGGAATACTGAGAGGCCGAGAATTATTCAAACAGTCTTTCTTTGTCTCGATGCGCAGAAAAGAAATGGCGTTATTTTGTTCTGCGACAGCCCTATCCTCTTCTTATCAGCCATTTAGGATTTAAGAAGAGCAGTCGAAGATAATTCTGTTTTAAGCAGAACGAAGACGTTCTCAGTGTATCTGCAGTAGTCAGTAGGTCTCACATCAAAATGGCGGAGATTTAAAGCGTCAGATTCCAAACTGTTCATCAGAGCTTCCGCACTGGTAACTCTGGTAGAAGATTCCATAGCAGCTCCATAGGATTGGCAATGGAAACACTTTTCTGTTCAAGGCAAATGTTTGAAAGTGTCATCTGGAAAACTTTTCACATTTTTGAAGCGCACATT